TGAAGGACCCATACAGAAAAAGCATAAAGGTTTGGTGGTCTCCGAGAAAGGATGCCGCGCAGTTTACAGTGCGACAAAAGTATCACGGGGAAGTAAAGGGCGGCCAATTGAGGCATCTGTTTATCGCGAAAGCTATTCAGGTCGCATGGCCGCTGTGTACAGTAACGATTCCACAAGGTTTGGGGCTCACCATTACTGTCTGATTCCCAAAGACGGCTTCCGGCACAAGTTTGATTGTGATGCAGTAGAAAGATTACAAGTGATTTTTGATAACAGACGTGCTTCTGCCGAGTGTGAAGAGGAAGGCTATAATCTACGAAATGCCTCTGTCACGAAAAGAGCTCTCTCCAACAGTGCAGTTTTAAAAGTTTTACAGCTCCTGGGACACTTGCGTCAGTTTACTATTTTGCATTCGGAGGACCCTGGTTGGTTTTTTGGCAGAGCATTTAAGTTCACATCAAGAACTTCAAGTAATTTTATTGGAGCAATTGCGCGCAACTATATCTGCAACATTGCCGGACTTTCGTTTTTGTTGCGAGGGAAACGATTGCGAGCTGGAACTGAACCTTTGACAAATGACCTCAAAAACTTTGAGAAGGACTTGTTGGAAAAGTGGACATCATTATCTACTACAATTGGTATCTCGAGTCGGGAAATGGAGCAACCCCTGACCCATTCAGAGGCTGAAATATTCATGTCGGAAGCAGCGTCTAGTCTAGCCCAGCGACGCAAGGACGAACTTTTGTCATTGCTCAGCTCTGTTGGGAAGAAAGACCGGACTTCCTCACGCAAAAGTGAACTCATTTCGAGAGTGATAGAGCATCAAGCTGCTGTGAGGAGGGGGGACGCAACATTGTCTATACAGGACACATCAGGAGCAAATGAACAGATCCATTACAAGAAATTATCGGAAAACGTATTATCTCAGCTTTATAAAGCTTCTCTTGAGTCGTGGGAAATGAAGCCACTCGTGTCTACTGCGGGGATGAAGGAGGAAAGTTTGAATGAAATTCAGGTATTACGTGCTATTCCCGCTTTCTTCAAGAAAAATTAGGCCTTACACTTATCTGTCAATCTCTCCTCGTTGCCCGAAGAGCGAGTTGCTCTTAAAGTAGAGTATGTTCGAAGTGTGGGACTTTTATGCTCTAATAATTCTGATATGATCGCGGATAGTCCTGATGGAATGATGGGCTACACTGCTGGAACGGAAGCTCACGTTGCTTCTCTTGAGATCAAAACAATGACTTCGCAGAACACAATTGCCATTGCCAAAAGGAAAAGAAACAGATTTGGTCCATTCGTTATTCTAAAGGATGTAGGGAGGAATGCAAGTGCAGATATATTCTTTCGAGACCTTGTCCCGACGACGGGATATAGATTCCAATGTCTGCATCACGCTGCTGCTGCTGATTTGGAACATGTGTTATTTATTGTCGCAAAAGGGAGTAACTGCGGAATGGGTGAGATTATTTATGCATTATGCTTCATATGTCACAGCATCCCCGGAACATTTATCTTCTTTTCATGGATGCCGTTCGGGTTGCTGCATTCGACTGGGTCCGTAAGGAAGCGACTTGCATTCCGAAAAGATATGGAGAACTCCTGCAAGGTTCGCATACGTCTGACATTCACACGCTTGCATCATTTTACAACTTGAGCCAGGCATACAAGAACATGGTTATTGAGAATGGTCCGCTTCCGCCTTGTCGCATGATTCGCCCAGTTCTTCTAGTTTATTGGAACGCACTAAAAGGGGGTGTCGATGAGTTTAGTAGAGCTTTGACTACACTGGCTTACACCAACAGAAGTGAGAATCCAATAGTAAGCATATTGGGATGTTTATTGTGTGCACAAGTCTCAAATGCAGCGATTGTGAATCGCTTTGGGATTGCACGGCTTCAACAAAAGTTCCCATCTATTTCGCAATTCAGGAAAAGTGGTTACGGGTACAAGAACATACGTCATCAAGTGACTACATGTCAGACGTTTGGACAATTTGCGAGAGGTCTCGCTCAGGAATATATTTTATCACTGCAGAGTCAGAATGACACTACAGATCAAAACCAAATGAGTTTAGAGTCAGGAAATCTCGCATGGCAAGAGAGAACCTCAACCAGTGTAAGAGCAATGTATGCTTCTTATGCAGTGCAAAAGTATAATCGTCCCGCAGATAGACGTAGAAGGTTGAATACCAATTTGGCACATGACAAGATTAGGGGAAATGAAACGAACGGACATTTGACTGAGCTGCAACACCTTGATCCAAGAAGCACCATGGAGCCCAAATGCTCAGTACGGCAGCTCCGAAAGGTCGCAACAATTCATATTAATTGGCGTCAAGATAATTGTCGCGCTCAAAGCGCGCAGGTGGGACATACCGTGTAAGGCCGCGAGCCAAGTCGCTCTACTAAAAGTTCGTCTGCATTTAAGATAGCACTGTCCTTCTGCCGTGCAATTGCATTTACAGGCACGCTACCTCTCCGATGCATTTATGTTCCATCGAGCCCCTATCGACGAGTAGTGAAGGAAACCAGTATAAGTAGAGAGGGGGCAGCATACGATAGGCATCATTGCGAAATAGTTCATCAAGTAAAGCTTGTCAATTGTCAACTGTTTCAGGAAAAGCGACGTACTGTAGCCTTTGCTCTTATTCGGAAACGATAACTTTCCGGAAGAGAAAATTCCAGAAGAAGGGGGGATCAAAAGTGGTTCAATGGTGTGGATGCTGCCGTCAGCCAATTTGTGGAAATTGCTGGGATACTTGGCATTCGTCAAGGCAGTTGGTACGTGCAACCATACCAAGCGAAGAACTTCACCTTCTACAACAAAAAGCTCAGAGTGCTCGCAATTAACTACTAGGTATGTAGTATGAGTATAGATAAAGGTATTTCGGCGTGGTGTTGAGCTCTGAATTGCTTTCTTTATGCACTGCTTTCATCAGTGTTTGAGCCAAGCATCATTCTCTTCTTGACAACTACATTTTGCACATGTTTTGTAGAATCTCCCCTGTGGAGATTCTCCACATCCGGAGAGATTCTCTCCAAAAAGACGGAGACGTTCTCCTTAAGTTAGGAGAATATTTAGGAGAACTCTTGAAAAGGTTCTCTGCAGCACCCCTTTTTGTTGGTGTATCTTTGTATCTATTGATGCTATGGAAATAGTGTTTATGTCTGCAGACAGAGCGGCTCTGGGGCATCGTTTCTGGTGTTTATCGAGGCCGTGCTCCGTAGATCATGCACGCTGCAGTCGGAAAACTGCTTTTTTCTGTTTTCAAAAATGTTATATTTTTCAGCACAGGGGTAGAATGGCCCTGAAAGTGGCAAGCCAATTTGAAAGAGCAACGTGGGCGTTCTACATAAATGGTGATGAAGGAGGGACGATGCACGTACAGTGCGCGAAACTGCAATAAATACACACATCGACCACCACGTAAACAACACCTCCGATTGCCCTTTTAAAGCATCGCCCCACGTACAGTACCAGGACATCAAGGAATAAACATTTGTAGAGCCCGCCAGTTGTACGTGGACACGGTTTTGGAGTTAGCTCCGCAAAGTCGCGCGAAACTGGCATACATACGCGAAATACCATAAAGCACAGTACCTTTAGGGCGCCAAAACAGGACCGTAAAGCGCTATATAAGCCTCAAAACATCCCAACGTAAACTGCAACTGCTCCTTTACAATATCAATACAACTCAACTATCCAGAACAAAGAAGAAATGCCTCGGGGCCCCGCAATAACCGATCTTGAGCGTAGCCAGATCTTGGCTCTCCACAAGGAATGCATTTCATTCAGGAGCATTGCGGAAGCTGTCAATCGCTCTGTAGGAGCCGTACAGAGTGTAATTAGGCTGGGGTTTAAACACAAACATCTTCAACACTGGAAAGGAAATCAGAAGATCTCAGAGACGCAGAAGAGGGCTATAATTAGGATGGCTTTAGAAGGAGAGGAAAGCGCAAGAGGTATTCAGGCTGAGCTCAAACTGCCGATTGGGCACAGACGCGTCCAACAAATACTGAGCGCTGTGCCCTATCTCAAGTATAGAAAAATGATCACGGCACCACAGATGACCCCTCAGCATAAAGAGAATAGGGTCCAGTGGTGCCGTAGATTCATAAGCAAGGGTGAAGAGTTTTGGAATACTGTGGTCTTTAGCGATGAGAAAAAGTTCAATGGTGATGGTCCTGATGGTTTTGCCTCGTACTGGCATGATCTCCGCACCAAAGAGCGAATGTTTTCTAAGCGACGGAATGGGGGATTTTCGGTTATGGTGTGGGGTGCCATTAGTTTATATGGTGTTTCTCCTATTGTTTTTATGGATGGAAGACAGGATTCTACTAAGTATGTTGATGTTTTGCGCCACGGTTTACTGCCATTTAGCTCAGAGGTATTTGGGGAAGGGCAGGGTTGGGTGTTCCAGCAGGACAATGCCCCGATTCATACTTCAAATTTTACAAGAACTTGGCTCTCTGGCCATTCTATAAGGACTCTACCGTGGCCTCCTAAGTCCCCAGACATGAATATTATCGAGAATGTCTGGGGAGTCATGGCTAGAATGGTGTACGCAAGAGGCAGACATTATCAGAATGTTAGAGAGTTGAAGGATGCCATTGAAGAGGCTTGGTCTACAGTGGGGTCGGACCTTCTTTTAAAGCTGTACAAGAGCCTACCCCGTCGTATGCATGCTGTCATGGATGCGCGGGGTGGTGCAACAAAGTATTAAATGCTCCTTTATGTTTTGTGTCATATCATATTTCGCGTATTTATAACAATTGCGCTCGGGTTTTTAAAGATATCTCGACAGTGGTGCGCTGTATCTATATTCTTGATTGATATGCGTTATTATTGGCGCGTGTCAGACCCGCATTCGTAGCTGTTTGTGGACGGACTGGTCACGAAGTGTCAGATTGATCCTTGTCGATGGGTGTATTTATTACAGTTTCGCGCACTGTATATGAAGATAATTGGCCACTGTAGTGTAATGAGTCTTACTTACACAGTACAGTCGACCCTACGCATTAGTGCCGCCCTGTGTAAGGACTAATAATACGGCACTAATTCGGAGCGGCACAATCAGAAAGCAGAATCACTACCCGGCCAGAACTCGGTTATTAGAGTCTGCGCTGTTGTTGCCTTTGACCCTGTCTCTCATGCCTACTGTACGTGTAGCTTCTAGAAAAGCTCGTTTTGCGGACCTCAAATGTGAAAAGGCATTGCTCACAGCGCACTCTACACCCAGACTCTCCAAAGACCCAAACAACCTTGCTACAGTAGCACTACAGCACTCGGTACGGCCCGCCTCTCCGTAATTTCACACTCGTCTTCTGCCACACAATCATCCATCATAGCATCACTGGCAGACTGATTCTGTAGCTCTCCACCATAATGTATTGAATCGCAAGCATCACTAATAGAAGCTTCTGCCACAAGCTCATTAGTCTCGATCTCAGTCCATTCCTCCACATCTTTCCTGCAGAATTCTGCAGTTTCTGCAAGGCCGTCTTCTGACACCAGGCTCAGTCGGGAGAGAAACCCTACTATACCATCCACCATAGATTTATCAAGTTCTGTTTCATTTCGACCAACTTTCCGACCTGCAGCAGATGCCCAACCTCGATTTTCTGTGCAATCGTAAGGCGCGTACGCTTCGCTTTGGCGATCTTTTCAGGATTCATGTTAGGGTCTTTGAGTGAGGTGCCATCACGTCACCAATTGAGCTGAGGCGCATGAGGAGTGGCCGATGACGACGTCGTGCATGACACGTGGCAGAACCTGTGTCTGCCGGTTTTGGCGGCACTAATTCGAGGGTGGCAATAATGAAAGCGGCACTATTGCGCGTCCCCCCCCTGTACATGGAAGAGTTTTCCATCTGGAAGAGATTTCTTCCATTTTGCAGTTCAGAAATTCCGCACTTGCAAGTATTCCACGTCGGTACATCCAAATTTCGCATACATGGAAGAGGTCTATTCCATGTATTGGTTGAGGGTTAAAGAGCGAGTTCACGTGAAGATCCTGAATGCACACCGTTGGACCCCAAATGGTCTGAAAGGGGTTGGGTAATTACAACGGGCTGCGCAGTAAGCAGCAGCTCGGGTTTGTATGTTGTAATAGTGTGCAACGTGTCGAGCATCGGGAGGAGAGAAGGCGATCTGGGAGGGCACATCTGCCGCCCTGGGTGGCCATTGCTGTAGCTCCCAAGATATTGGTCGAACCGATGCTTCGCTCGCGCCTCCCAAGCCCCAATAAAAATGCATCTCCGCGTCCCCATGTTTTTTTCTCTTCCCAGAACACCACGCCTCTCCGCCACCTTATCCCTGGCATCCCTCCGCCACCGCTACCTCTACCCACCCACCCCCCCCCCCTCCACCCTCTCCCTTTCCCCCCTAAGCGCCCACCATGACCGTCCCGGCCTTTCTCCCGTCCATGTGCAGCGCGGCACCCACGCCTCCCTCCTCCACGCGCGCGTCGCGCCGCCCCCCGCGCGCCAAGAAGCGCACACGCAAGCGCGCGCGCCCGTCGCAGCTGACGCGCAAGTACCGCGACACGCGGGACCCCGCCGATGAGTCGCTGATGGTGGGCGATCCGGCCCTACCCGCGTACCCATCGCGCGCGCCGGCCGTCCGCTTTTCTCGCTTTCCCGGCTCGTGGGAGGAGACCGCCGCGCAGGTGTCGCGCGCCGTCGTCCACGCCGCCCTCGAGGGGCACGACCGCATCCGCGTCGACGTCAAGCGCCCCGAGCTGCTCGTCAACGAGTTCCCGGACCCATTGCGCAAGGACGTGCCGCTGCTCGATACCTCCCCGCACGCGTGCCGCGTCGCCCTGCTCACACAGGTCGCGTGCGATACTATTTACGCGCTCATTCAGTTGGATCACTCAGATAAGCGCAACTATAGGCTCTGCGTTAAGCCTATGAGGGCCGCTGTTCATTTTAATAGCCGCGAGGACGCGCTTGTGGGAGACCGCTTCATCTCGGATGAGGTCCGTCAGTTTACTGATGTGTTTGTCCTGGGAGAGAAGAAGAAGGATCGTCCCAAAGCGGATATCGCCGTCATGATCGCCCCCACCAATCGCCAGGGTAATTTTGCACAGATTGAGAAAGTCGAGCTCGTGCATTACGCCAACTGGTCCGCTCCCAAGATCAATGTCATGTTCAATCCGCAGCTCATCGCGCTCACCAGTCTCACCGCCTTCGGCGATGAGCCGCGCGAGCCGGGTTTTCTCAGAGACTACTTGCGCTCATACTACCTAGACGCGGCCGCTTTTCCATCCAAGACGGCCACGGGTGCCGTCCTTAGGTGCTTTCCGAGAAAGTGGGAGATGTACTTGCTCAAGGTCCAGAGTAAGATGGGCTTTAGGCTCGTGGCTGAGCAACCCGCCCCACCGTCCCCAGAGAAGATCCGCGGTGAGTTTTCGTGGCGTATTGAGTCGGAAATGGAGACGGCTGTTTCGTTTTGAGGTCGGGTGGCATGCAGAGGGCTTTTTCGTTCATGACTTGCAGTGCCAGAGCATTTCGAGATGGCCTGTGAAATGTACTTGTACTGTGTACCGTATAGATACTCCCTTGCATGTAGTGATGCGTGCGATGTACTTCTAGTCATTTACACTTAAATTTTTGTCATCGCTATTATCACCCCCTTCAAGAGTCAGCCGATGAGCTCTCTTGGATCTAGACGGCGTGGCCACAGTGCTGCGAAGGACATGCATTTTCAAAAGCGAGAACGATGAAAATAATCAGAAAGGAAGAGACCGGCATCTGCATCCATCAATATGAATAACGAGAAGGATCCGGCTGTGGATCCCGTTCCTCTTTTCTTGTGGCACAGGAAGAAATTAATTGATAATAAGCCAAACACGGCACCTACGAAAAGTTAAGCATGTTTAGCCTCGTTTTGTCGTGGAATTTTTGTTCTATCGAATGTTAGCGAGTGGACTACCCTCGGATTGTGTTAGCGTATCTGCTGCACTAACGAATTCTACATCTGAGTTTTGTCGACTTAATTGCGGTGATTCGGGCTGGGGGCCATCATCCTCAAGCCTTGCATGCTCCGCCGCTTGAAACTTTTTGCTTTCCTTCTCCCTGAAGTCGGCGACGACGCCAAATATCCGTCCCATGTGCTTCCGGTCTGCGGCGCGTTTCAGGAACGGGTGTCGGAGCATTTCGGCAGCTGAGGCACGCTTAGATGGGTCAGTGATTGTACATTTTTCGATGAAATCATGGAAATCGGACGTCCATTCATCTGGCTTCTTAAGCCGTGGCGGGCCTTCAGTGGCAATAATAAACATGGCCTTCATCTGCGTTTCGTGGAGCAGTGGTGGGGCACCCTCCGCGCATTCGATGGCCAACACTCCTGTTGACCACACGTCCACCTTCGAATCGTAGTCCATTCCGCGGCATACTTCCGGCGCCATCCAGAAAGGGGTACCAATGACAGTATTCCTCTTGTTGTCCTTCGAAGTCAGTTGAGCTGCAAAACCAAAGTCAGCAATCTTGACATGACCTTCACGAGTTACAAGGGTATTGTCAGATTTGATATCTCTATGAATTCTCTTGATACCATGAAGAGAAGCAAGGCCCTGAAGTACTTCTCTGCACACGTAGGCAATTTCGGGCTCATTCAAGTGCAGCTTGCGATCGTTCAAAAAGTAGAGGACGTCCGTTAGAGATCCAGCGTCGGCCAGCTCCATGACAATAAATAAGTTTTCATCGAGCTTATATGAATCGTAACATTTGATGAGGTTGTGGTGGAAGGCCGAACTCATCACGGCGACCTCAAACTTGAAGAGAGAGAGGTCTTCTTGAGACTTAGGGACAACCCGTTTGACAGCGACGGGTACGTTCCTCTTCGGGTCGAATGCCCTATACACGGACCCTGAAGAACCTTCGCCAATCTTCACAACATCCTTGAAGGACTTGAGGGGATTCCCGGAAATGAAGTTCGGCTCCCAGTTCTTTAACAAGTTGTTATCGACGTGAGTAGCTTCACTCATCTTGATTTGATTGATGTGGTAATCGACATGCTTCTTGGGGTTGAATTGCTTGTCGTACGAAACCTGCAAGACGTCCAAAAGCTCCTCTGGATTCTTGAGAGCCATCTCTCTATTGATGCCAGAGTGCTTCAACATAATTTCCCACTCCCTCGGCAAGCCAGCAAAGCCTGTTGGATTACTCGGGTCCACCTGCACATGAGTCTTATGTTGGAAGTGCCTCGGTTGGCCAACACTGATTGCAGGGGCGTTTGAAATGCCATGTCGATTAAACTGCTGATGGTTGCTATGCCCAATAGTAAACTTGCGAGGCTTCATGCGCAGGATAGAAGAACGGCTGAGCTCTTCCTTCTCCGGAGTGTTAGATTTTTCTGAAGACTCGGTGCTGTCCGCTCCCGACACATTCCAATGCTTGAGAATCCTATCCTGCAAATGCGAGGACTTTTGCTTTGTGCCAGGCTTTTGCAACGAGATGGGAGTATCGGAAAAGCTCTGGCTGAGCTCCTCCAGATCCTCTGGTGCATTGCTGTCGAAGGCGTCACGAAGGGCCTCCTCCAGGCCCTTGTAGGTCCCAGTGGAGGGATCAAACTCGACGTGTATCTTTCGCTTGACCTTTGTGGGGTTGGATACGCGTGGCGCATCAGAGTGGGGTTTGTGAGGGCGGATGTGAAAGTGGGGATGTCTCGAGGAGTCTTGTGCTGCCAAATTGTTTTCCTTCTCGGCGTTGCGTCGTGCTTTTGTGTCCAGGATTAGGAATTGGTTGGCACTGGTAGTGAGGTTGTTTCCATTTGCTAATCTTGAGACGGAAAGCTCCGAGAGGGGACTCCGATGGGATTCAGTCAGGGAGTTTGGTGCGGTGTTCTTGCTGGTTGCTTGGTTTGATGACTGGGAGTTGGGGATGGGAGTCGGCGCACGAGTGGGTGTCATGTCTGAGATTGTGAACGTATTGAAGCTTCCTTCGTCGTGGTCGTTGGTGGTGATGGTAGAGGAGGCGATGTTCTGTTTGAAGTTTGAAGGTTTGAAAGAGTCAGCTGCCGGAGGGTTGAAGTGAAGGTCGTGGTGGTGGTGGATGGAGGCGACGTTGCCCATGACGAAAGCGGTAGCAAGGGGATGTGGGTCTGGCGCGCGGCGGGGCGGGGGTGGGGGATGCGGGCCAGGCTCGACGGAGTGTATCGGGAGATATGGCTGGCGCGCGGGTGGTGTTGCGAGTTACGGGAGAGGGAAAGGCAGA